ATTTGACATCTCCCTTCATCTGTCTTCTCGTCAAACGACATGACCTAAACACACGCCCAACGCCTTGCGGGAATCATATCTCCACTGCCAAATTGGCCCGAAATCGCTTTTTGTTTTGCCGCCCAACGCCGTATTTGATGCATCCTTCGAGTGTCCCCATTATGAGTCCTCAATCGTCGTCTTCGTCCTCGCTGGCCGTAGCTGTGTCTTCCTCCACATCTGTCTCGGGAACATCGTCCTCCTCCTCATCACTATCATCGTCGCCAGCCTCCATATTAAGACCCGGGATAGCTTGGTATTGTACGTAGTCTCCCTGGATCCAGCGCTTGCTTACAGGCAGCTGGTAAGGGTCAAAGGGAAAGTAAGGGTCGAGCTGGTACGACTCCTCGTCCTGCGCTCCGGAGCCTGTGTCCCGGAGAGCGCCTCCTGTGCCGTACGTGTCCGACACAAACTGCGACAGCCTGATGCGCTTGTTCTCCTCCACACGCGGGAAGATATACATCAGGCCGAGCTTGTGGGCCAGTGTCGCGAATTCTTCGACGATCGCGGGCGCGCAGATCTTCAGCGGGTTCATCTTGCAGTACACACTCGCCGAAAGCTCCTCCCTCATCCCTTGCATCCACTCCAGCTCGTTGCCAAGGTATGATGCGGGGTCGTCGCGGTCGACAAACTCGGGCGTATCCACGATCAGGTCGCGCCAGCGGAAGCAGAACATGTAGAGCGCAGCTTGGACTTGCGCATAATAAATTTGGTGTCGTCGCAGATCAGGTCCTCTCGCGTCAGGGTCGTGCTTCACGCGGTAGATTTGCATCTGCTTAAGCAGGAGGGCGAAGACGGTGCGGACCAGGTCAGGCGGGACGTGAGCGCCTCTTGCCATGAAACCCGCCAGGTATGTAGCCGCTGCCTGTCGTACGAAGCTCGGTCGGTTTTGGGAGCCAAAGATGTGCATCAAGCTGCCAACGAAGGTATCGCGCAGACGTGCCGACATCTGGCCGAAGTGGAAGAGGAGGAATTGTGTGTGGCGAGATTTGTATGTTGGCAGAACAATCTTTCCGAAAGACTGCACCAACAGGGCGTAGCGGCCCCATGCCTCGTCCGAGTCGGGGTTCTCGAAGAGAGGTGTGTAGTGATCGAATAGCGTATCAAGGATAGCGTCCAGCTTCTCGACGTTGCCCTTAACAACGCGGACCTTTTCTTCCTTATCGTCAAAATCCGAATCATCGCTGTCGACGGACTCGTCGTCGCTGTCCTCCTCCTCGGCTTCTTCATCGCCTTCCCATGACCCAGTGTTTAGTGACTTTCCAAGCGCGTATGCAACCGATGCCGTGAGGTCGTCGTCGAGGTCGTCAAGATCCGTCTGCATCTGGACATCGATCTTGACTAGACGCGAGAGGAGCACGTCGATAATGTCAAGATCCAGCTCTCCGGCGTAGTCAGAGAGCTTCAGTAGGTTGATGACGTAGGAGACGAACATCCTCTTCGGGTCGTCATCGAAGGGAAACTTGGTGTCGAGCAAGTTGCGGAGAACGGGGGTGGCGGCCGGGAACATCTGAAGGAGGTACTGCAGACCGGTGTGCAGACGTTCGCGCATGGTGGAGCGGCTGACAGGAGGAAAGTCGGCAACGCCCCATTCAGACTGCCTGGAGTGGCAGAATTTCTCGACAATCATGGACAACACATGCGTCAGATAGGATCCCTGAGCGCTAATGAGGGCAGCCAGGAACTGGATGTAGACCTTGAAGAAGTCTTCGTCTCGGCCGAGCCAAGAGACTTGGAGAACGGTTCTCACGAGACCATTGCAGGCCTTGTTCTTCAAGAGAGGGACGCAGCTAGTCAGCGCCAGAACGTAGCACTTGAGCTCCTGGGGCTTGAGGGTATCCTCGTCTTCCCCAGCGACAGGCGGCAAGTATCGCTGCTTATCGTTGGCAAAGATCTCCTTCAGATTGTCGTATTCCTCGTCCTCCCCCATGAGGTGCTCCTCGAGAGCTTTCCGGACTTCCGCGTTTACCTCGTCCATCGACCGACCGCCGAACTCGAAAACGCGATTGTTCATCTCGTTGATGAAGACCTTTCTCCGCTTGGTCGGACTGGAGGGAGGGTCAGCTGCGACCGAATCGAGCCCCGCCTCGTCTGCTTTCCGGCGGCCCAGCACGGAAGGACGCAAAATACTCTTAATAGGCGTCGCTGTTCTCGGTGGCGGGCCAGACCGATGTCTGGAAATGGGGGTGAAGGGTCGCATGGAGATAGTCGTGCGTGGTGGTCAAGGCTCGTTTTCAGGCGCTTGGAAGGGAAGCTCGCAGAGTGGCGGCACGGTGTCGGGCTATTCTCATAGACTGGTAGATGTGTTGCGCAAGGATTCGCAGAAACACGTCATGCATATCTGATTCTTTTGTGAAAGCAGCGTCGGGGCGTCTATTGTCCTCGAGGTGTTGCTGGATTGAGGTGGCGGCCGACCGAGAGATCCTTTCGGCGGTTTGTTGCCTGGAAAGTTTGGTGATAGGTCAAAGGCTGCCCATCACTTTTTTTTTGCTAGGTAGGCGGCGGCACGGATTTGTTTGGGCCTTGCATCCACTGGCTGGATAAAATTTTGAGACTGGAGGGGCTGCGCACGTGCCCAATGCCGCACTCAAGACCCCTGGAGTGGTTCTTGGACCGTGCACCTTTCGTCACAGGCGCCTTACACTTTTAAGTGGCTGATGAGAAGCTGGGGAATTATTGACATAGTCTTCTCTTATTGGACATGTTGCAACAGTTGCCTGCTAAGCCGTTGTGTAAGTCGAATAAAGCATATGGATCGTTCGATCCGCAAATCATGAAACTCGTCGGTATGTGTCATTCATGGGTGAGAGTCATAATGAGTCCCCATTCCAAAGTGGCAAGAATCAACGCCAAAGAAGTGATTGCGCGACAGAATGGGACTGGAATTAGAAGCTATCTAGAGTGCTGTAGCTATCTGCTAAGGAAACACGGCCCGGGTCCGTTCCGTTAGCTCGAATGCTTGCTGAACTGCTCTCTGCCAATGCCGTAAGACCACTCCTGGGTCTGACATGGCTGACTGAATCGCAACGCGAAAAGGGGGAATCTATCAACAGCCAATTGTTCAAAGGAAAGAAGAAATTCCTGTCCAGTCGACGCCCTTTTGGGTAAACCTTGCTGCTCTCCGACCTTGACGTGACTCCTGGGGCCCCTCATATACACCTGTATGCCCCGCCGTACCTTTTTCGAAGATAATAGAACACTTCCCGGCCCTGTACTTATACACACTTGCACGTATGTCCAGGTATCGTCTTTGGCCGGGCTTGTACGTTCTCAAGTCGCGACCTGTACATATATGTCGAGAGTAAAAAGGTGTCTGCAATCCTAACACAATACACTACCACAACCGCAAGAGTTCACGCAGAACAGACTAGTAGCCGTCCGCGCCACCCGTGCCGTTGTGTCCGGTCTGAGCGCCGTACATGTAGTTCGGGTCGGCACTGCCGTCACCCTGCTGAGCTCCGAGAACGTTATTCTGAGGCTCAGCCTGGAAGCTTCCGGCGCCGGCTGGCGGGTTGGCGCCGTATCCGCTGCTACCGGGGCGGTGGGAGCTCTCTCCTCTGTTGGACTGGGATTGCTGCTGATTCCGTCAGTCAGGCTCCAATTGCAAATTTGACGCACACAACGTGTGGCAGTGTCATATCATGGCTATACGTACTTCCCGATACTTCGAAAGGTAGATCTTAAGTGCCTCGGCGTAGTTCTCAAAGCCCAGAGATGTCATGGCGAACAGGATGTCTTCACCGTTGACCGTCTTGCGCTTCTCTTGGTGGCACTTCTCCGATGCTGTGATAGGTCAGGTTTCTCTTCTGCGAAAATCCTTGCTGGCTAAGGGAGAGCAACTGTGGAGCAAACAAGCTTACCTTCACTGGTGATGAATGAGATGAACTCGCTGACGCATTCTTGCATGCATTCCTTCGCTTCTTTCGCAATCTTTGCATTCTCGGGAAGAGCATTCTTCATAATGCGGGCGACTGGAGCAAAGTTTCGTATGTTAGCGTCAAGCTCATCATATTTTTCGCCACTGGAAGCGCCTGTTGCTTCGGGGGACTTTGGCGACGAATCGTGAGACATGACGACTCGAGAGCGCAAAACGACCGTCTGAACCTTCGCGCCTCAAACACGAACAGCAACGAGAACCAGACAAGCGAATAGCACGCAGACAATCCAATCCAGTCGAAAGACAGCGTTCACGGAGTTTGCTGGCGCGTACGAACCAAAAGTCCAAACATCGTCGTCGTCGTCGTCGGTGAGAAAGGGGAATATGGCTTACCATTGGCTATGGGCAACCAGCGGTCCTGTTCCTTGACCTCGAACTCGGCGTAGGCCAGGCCACCGGACTGTGGGTCTTGAGGCTCGTTCATTTGTTCCTCTTCCGGTGATTGTACACCTTGCTCGACATCCTTGGGAGGAGATTGGGGGGAGTCCGACATATTTGGCTACCTGCAGCGGCTGCTGGCGTTCTTGTAATTTGCTTGGGTTCTTGCAGCTCGCACACACGGGCTTGGGATGATGTGTCCCCTGACACGTTGCAGGACCGTAGGGCTTGCAAGTCTCGCGGCTTAGCTGCAGAAGCGTGCGTCAATCCTGCCCTGGACCCCTCGGCTTGTCCTTGAGATGGATTATTTTTACTCGCGATCCCCTGGCAGGCCCTGTCTTGACTTCAGGCTATGACGGATCGTCCTGGGGTTGGCCTGTCTGCTGCCTTGACCTGGCAGACTTGGGAACAGAGACTGGGAAAAAAGCGGGAAGAGGGTGGCTGCGTCTGCGGGTCCCACAGGAACGGCCGTCCTATTGAGTCCGAAAGAGGGTAGCGTTGATGCTTCGTGATCGCCCTGCTGCAGCTGTGGGTATACGCGCTCCTCCGGGTTGGTGCTCGAAACTCGGCGCGCGGATTTGACCCGTTGGGTTGGTGTAGAGAGAAGAGGAGACTGGGTTCGCGAGTCGCAAATGGGGGGGTGAGGTCAGGTCGAATCAGCAGCCCCGAGGCGAGAATACGGTACTTTGTTCCTGGTAGAAGGCGATGCGGAGTGCTGCGTCGAGGAGGCGCGTGGGCAGCCGGTCTGGTACCAGTAGAGATGCTTGTAGTCCGTAGTCGTCGTGACTTTGGCGGAGCTTTGGGCGCGCAAGAGTCGACCTGTGGTTACACACCGGGCTATCGGACGGGACAGCCGTAGGTAGCGGGCTCGAGAAGTAACAGCTGCAAAGTCGCGTCAGAGAAAGCTTCGCTTGGCCCGAACAGGATAGGGAGTGACGGGAGTGGGAGTGCGACAGCGACTGGTGGGAGAGGAACAAGCAGAGAAGGGCGACGGCGCGTGGCTGCTGGTGTGTATGGAGATGGGGCAACGTGAGGGCACTGGACTGGAGGAGGGGGGGGCCCAGGTCAAGTGCCGTTCGACAGGGTCTGGAAAGTTTTTGGTTTGTTCCTTACAAGATTCAGGGTGTATGAGTTGTTCGATCGAGGTCGCAATAGAGCCTAACAATGCGCCTGGTTTCTGGCGGATGCACCTGTACGTGTTGATGGCTGCAAGAACGTGGGGTTCGCAGTTGGTGCAGAAGGGAGAAATGGAGGAGAGTGGGCAAGAAGGTGCGGTCAACAAGACCTCCAGCGCATTAAACACAATAACAACGTCCATGTCCTCCCAGGTCGCGAAGCCCACCACCCGTTTTATCGATAACATGGGCGGTACTTGTCCGGGCTGAGCCCTACCACCAAAGATCGAGGTACCTGTCAGCGCCACTGTCCCGTCCAAGGATTAGCGCGGTACCTCCAGCCCCCCATCATCCGATCCTCCTCCCTAACAACGCGGCTGAGAAGATGCGCTGCTGCTGCGACTGCTCTTCGCATTCTCCATTTCTCTTGCGCGCTCGGATGTCCCTCGGCCGTCGGGTGTCTGACGACATACTTGGATCTGAGCCCTGCTGTTGCTGTCAGACGAAAGCTCAAGCAAAGATGAACCACCACACTGGCGCCTTGACGATGCGCGAGGGGATTCCCAAGAGACGACCAAGAAGAGACTGCCACTGCCCGCCGTCTTCTACCGACACTCCCGCCTAGCAAAGTTTGATGTGTCATTGCATGCATTTAATGCTGTATCAACACGGACTCTTTCTATCCTGCCCATGCTCTGGTATATGAGCGGTGTAGGCGGCACGAAGCCACTAAGCTCGGAGGAGGGTAGCAAACACGGCTACCTTGCCTTACACCGGCGGGCGGATGCCAAGCAGGACATGCAAAGCAGTACGACGGGCAAGACGGGGACGTCGACGCAAGTTCCTGCTTCCTGCAGACTTGCTGACGGGATTGAAGGTGGAATTTGATGCCCCGTCCTTTGGTCCTCACCCGCGACGGGCGTCGTCGACGCAGCAAAGCGATGCAGCTCTCATCGCAAGCAGAAGCTGTTCCGTCGACGCGCCTCTTCCTCTTCGGCCGTGCGACGTTTTAGCAGATTGGGCTATCCATCCGCCGTCGCGATGAGATCGAAATGGAGGGCGACGGCGCCGCTTGATTTGACAATGGCACCGTCCAGAGTAAACAAGCCATCGAGCCTGTCACCTGTCTTCCTCAAGTCCGCCCCCAACCTAACCGGCACAGTCAGGCACGGGGGAGGCTGACAGCAGCCTAAGCAAGCGCCCCGAATGACGACGGCCGACCGTTTGGGCCGAAACCTGCGCCTTGGTTGGCGGCAGCCTGCCTGCGAAGTACCTGCCACCCATCATGGCCAAGGTACGGCAGTCAAAACCGCTCCTCCAACGGGCAAAGGAGGGAGCTTGAAGCTTGGAGCTTGGGCGCGAGGCTGCGTGACACAAGCTCGATTCGAGCATTCTCGGCCAATGAAAAAATACCGATAGCTTCCTGTTTTCTTGATTGGCACAAAATCCCCCAGATACGTCAGAAGCCCTTCAGTCTGTGGTCGTTTGTGCCAACGACAACGCGGAGAAATTCTTCCAATGCCCGCGGCGAAGCGCCGGTCACCTATCGGCGGCCCATCGCCTTACGTCTGACCCTGCATGCAGTAATGGACAGACAGACAACCCGCCTGGCCCAGCCAGTCGTCCACCGCAGTCACTAGGCACTGCGACCAGTATGGTTGGGCTTCTTTAATTCTGTCGGGAGCCAATAGCCCTCTAATTGGGTTGGGCTGGGATTGGACGACTTTTGCAGCATCATCTGCGTCTGCTTCTGCGTCTGCGTTCCGCATCTATCTAAAAAGACCACCATATCCGATGCACTGATTTCTTCTCTAGTTTTCCACAACCCTTGTCCGGATGATGCGGTTTCCACCCCTCCTCCAACGGCTTTTTTGTCGCTCTCGAGAGGGGTACCACATTCGGTCTTCCCTCGCCTCTGCGGGTGAATTCGACTCTGTCACAGCCGTAATGGTTGCATGAGTTGGCTGCGCTTCTCTCATCCTGGAGACATTGACAACTCAGAGCCACATTTCTACAACCCCCGGTCGTCCACAACGTCGCCGAGATGCAACCGGTGTGCCTCGCCCTGCCTGTTCTCAAACGATGACTGCCTGACGGCATCATCGTCATGACATGCGAGAAAATGGAACAATTCCTATTGCATCTTGGAGCATCTCGCTAGGCATGACACACATCTACCATCACAGGCGATGCCGGGCGCGCCATGGAGGTGGGATCTTGCCAGCCGGACGAGCAGTCTTCGATGCGGTCCATCCGCGACTTTGGCCATAACAGGCAATCCAAAAATACGGACAGCCCACTCTCTAACACGGTTGCTATTTTACTTGCAGGATGCATCTCACTAAATCGTACCGTGAATAGGCGGGGTGAATGTAGCCCACGGGATGCCTCCCTCATCTAGCCCCCCTCACGCAGACATCAAGCTGCGTACTATCTGTTGGGCACCGGCAACGGAACTCAGCCGCGGCTTCCAGAATACGCATGATATCACGCCCGGGGAGCATCCAGGATGAAATCAGTTCATCATCGCAGCCGTCACGTTTCATCTCTCGGCAATTACGAATCGGATGCCTCTGCCATTCTGTGGCTAAGTCTTGATCGGCGCCTGACCTACCGACGGGCAAAAGCAGCCTCGGCCGGATGGGCCGGTCCGTCGCCTCCACCCCCGCCCGCTCCTCCGACGAGAACACGGCAGCGTCGCAGTCCTTTCATGACCCGGCCCTCACGTGCGGAAGGGGAGGTCTGGATGACCTAGTAGCCCGAGCTGACGAACTGCCGTTCCAGAAGACCTGACCACACCACCATCACTGGGCCGCATGGGACGCAGCCAGTCAGCACGCCTCGTCAATCGGGGTATTCTCAGCCAGCCATAGCAACCACCACCTGTATGTCACCTTCGAGTAGGGTGGTGTGTTCGTCTGACGACCTTTGGGACATAATACTGTTGGGCACTGAAACGCCCTTGCCGCCGGGCTGTATTTGTTGCGTCTGTGTGCCTATGGCGCTGTACAACGCATTGCTATCACTACACCACCAACACGGCCTCCATCGCGATGACCTCTCCCGAGAATTGTCGTGTTTTCATCGGAATCTTGCTCGCAACAAGCGTAGTGCAGCCTCATTCTTTCATCTTGCAAACGTATCGAGACAGCTCACATCTCATGGTCTCTTGTAGCATGCAACGACAGCTCAGCATCGGAAGCTCAGACGTGAAGAGCTAATGCCCCGAGCCGCTGTGAGACAACCAGTCCTTCCTGGGCACAACTTTGGCAAAGAACGGTCGTCAGGCCTCCGAGACAGAGTGCCAACCTACAGAGCCCGCCGGTCGGCTAGCATATTCTCAGGGTCTCAGTTCTGGACAACCTGGACATTGTTCTTCTTCTGCAACCCCAAAGCCGTCAGCAAACAGCCCCTCAATGACGTCGCCCACCCGAAGGAAACCAAAGTGGGCTGATGGCTCCATGCCAGGCAAAAAAACATACCTTCCACTTCTCCAGCTCATCCTGCTTCGTCTTGTACTGCTTGACCAAGTCCTCCAGAACCTTCTTCAGGCCCTCCGAGTTGGTTGTCAACGCCGGCAGGACGTCCTTGACCGTCTGCTCCATCAACACTCCATTGATCAGGCGGAAGGCCTTGCGATCCCCGGATAGCGGCTGCAGCGTCTCTAGTACGAGCCTGTTTTTCTCCCCCGTCAGCATGACTCTTTTGCCCATCTTTCTCTCTCATATCTGTCCCATGATGTAACAAGCGGTGTGATATGTGAAGATGTCATGTTGCTCTCAAGGGGGGTCTTGATGAGGAGCGGTGTGCGTGGCGACCAGGACCCGGCTCCAAGGAGAGTTCATGACACCCCCGGACGACGTAGTTGCCTTGCCCCGCGATCCTGCCGTCATGAAGAACACCAGGGGGAACCATCGCATCAAGACGGCGGGTGAGTGAAATGAGGAAAAGACGCACTTATGCTCTTCAGCTTCTTGCTCGACATCACCGATCTTCTGCGCAATCTGCTGCAGCGTGTTCTTGTAAATGCCATATTGCGTTTGCAAATCTGTAGTAGTTTCAGTACGTGGACGGCCGATGGCGGGGTGAGATTTGCTTCACACAACACCCTGGGAGCCATGCATTGGCCTTTGCCTCAGGGCACCCTCTGCGTCGTGGAAATGGAACTGACCTTGCTGCTTCCGCTGGCTAGCTGCTGGCGCCGACATCTTGACGTAGACTTCCGATCAGCGCGACGGCCGATGTATACGTGTATGAATAAGGTGAGAGTCGTCGACGGGAGACAACGAGAGTGAGGGCCTGAAATGAGCCTGTCACCCTACCACCAACTGCGGTGGAAGTTCTAGAAGGCAGTGGTCCGAGCTTTTACCGCAGTGCCCACCGCCCCCCCTGGTCACGGCGCGGTGCCCGTAAAATCAATCAAAGCCCGGCGCGGCGAACCAACCGCTTCTCGCCCCCCACTAGACGGTGGTCTCATCCAATCCCTCGCCGTCCATTTAGCACTTTTCCATATCGAATTTCTTTTGCGCCATTCGCATCACGACTTGCAGTGCCAGAAACCACGAAATCCTCTTCACGGCCGAACGTCCCGCACTCTCGTGTCACCAAATCTCCATACAGTCGCCCGCCATGCATCCCCATCTGCACACCAAGGACAACTTCGGTCAGTAGAACCCCTCCTGCACCGGGACTCATCCCCCACGCCACCCTTCGAAAGCGAACCATTGCGCAGCAGCAACATTGCAGGATTTTGAATTCGCTGACAGAAGTCTCTTGGAACACACAGAGTGCGAAGACGTCATGGTCGCCCTCGAAGAATGCCACGCAAGGGGCTTCCTGCACAAGGCCACCGGCGGCTGCAACGACGCAAAGGACAAGCTCACCCAGTGCCTCAAGGGCGCGCGCGCGAGGCGCACCGAGGCCAACCGCGCGGCGGCGCGGGCCAAGAGGGAGGAGCGCGAGAACAGGATCAAGGAGCTGAACAAGTCCCTCGGTCTCGATTAAGTTGATTGAAACCAAACCCCGAACGAAACGAGCGAGCCGAACGAAAGGAGACGAGAGGACGGAGGCGGCGTTGTACGATACAGGGCGAAAATCACAACTTCATTGCGGGCTCGGCGTCATGGAACAGGTTGCATATTCACAAAAAGAGCGCGGGACAACTGGGTTCAGAGGTACATCCTGTCAGGGAGTAATGTTGTACAATACGATTGGGGCCGCCGGACTGCCCGGTGGAAAGAGATGGTTTTCTATCCCTCTTCTCTGCCCGATTACGGCTGGCCATGTGTGAACGAAAAGCAAAGAGTGTACCATTTCATTCCTCTCCCACCGCCGCAAGACTTTACAAGCTACGACTGAACTCCCTGCCGAAGGTCAACAGACCGAACAGGGACAACACGCTCAATCCGATCGGCACGGGCTTGCGGAGGCGGATGGCGCGGGGGATTGCGGAGCCACCGAGGACTGCCGAGGCGAGCAGACTCAGCTCGACGCCGTAGGATTCGCGGTTCTGAATGCGGTAGCCACCAAGGGCGTCTGTTGCTGAGTTAGTCGGGGGGTGTTTCTCGGTTGCCCGGGGGCATTGCAAAACAGCAGAGGGAGGGAGAGAGATGTCGTACAGAGGAATCCAACGGCGCATCCGGCGATGATGGATGGGAGGGACTTTGTGCGGGCGTAGCCGGCGATGCCGCCGCCAGCAGTCAGAACGGCGAGGACGTACGAGGGGGTCTGGAGGTCGGAAGCCTGTGCGCCTTGTCAGCTATTATGCCACTTTGTGCTCTGACATACCCAACGGACCATTTTGACTATTATTTGATTTACTGTCGGAATACTTTGCAACGAAAAAGATCGTCAGCCGTAGAGGGCAATTGATATAAAATGGCTTGCGAATTATCGTTCGTCGCGGTGCTGCAGAAGATGGGGGAAACTTCGAACGTTGTTCGGTGCCTCGGGAGTCCAAGCTTTCGGCCGCCCACCCACCAGCTGCAGCTCAGGGGATGATCTCATCCATTCCGCACACCACGATCTGACTAATCCAGCTCAAGGGACCAGCTCCTACCCCAGATTCGTGGCTTGACTCCCTTGCCCGCAGACCGCCCACCAGCCACGATCACCTGATAACGTGGCTTCAAGCTGTCGTGTCCTCGAAAGGACAGCTCCCCCAGCACAGCTCCCAGGCCACTTTACTCGTAGCGGCCGCGCATTTGTAGACCTCGAAACTCGCCGCGACTCAAAATTCCCACGACGAACCCTCCCACCCCCGAAACCGAATCCCAGTCCCTACCGACGACCTCTTCTCGACTTCAACGACAAACACGAGAGAACACCAAAAAACAATGGCGCCCAAGAAGAACGCCAACAAGGCCGCTGCCGCCGCCGAGCCCGCCCCGGCTCCCCCCTCGGCGCCCGCTGGACCGACCGCCGCCGCCGCGATCCCGGGCACCATGACCTCTCAGCCCAAGGCCGTCCCCAACACCAAGATCTCGAGCGGCGGCGCCCAGAACTGGGACAAGGTCCTCGCCAACATCTACAACCACTACGTCAACAACACCCCGCAGCGCACCAAGCTCATCGACGTCTTCATGGTCTTCCTCGTCGCCGTCGGCGCCCTGCAGTTCCTGTACTGCGTCCTCGCTGGCAACTACGTACGTCTAGGTCCCCTTTGTGGCTTCAGAGGGCTGGGTTTTGTGCTTCTGGAGAGGCATTGGGGCCTTTATTGCAGACCAATGGACTTGGAAGGACCGGAGACAAGGAACGCTAGCTAACATCTGTGTGAACAGCCCTTCAATGCTTTCCTCTCCGGCTTTTCTGCCACCGTTGGACAATTCGTCCTCACTGGTTCGTCAATTGCATGTTTCCCGCTCTCGAGACAATGGTCTAACAAACCCTCTCAGCTTCCCTCCGCATCCAGACCACCGAGGCCAACAAGGCCGACTTCCCCTCTGTATCACCCGAGAGGTAAGCCAGCTCAGCTCGCAACAACCCTTGACATGACTAACAGCAATCCAGAGCATTCGCCGATTACGTCGCATGCAGCTTGATCCTCCACTTCTTCTGCGTCAACTTCATAAACTAAGCGTCGATAACGACTTGCTATTAACAAACACCATGGGTATCCAAAAGGGGGTTACTCAGGGGTGACAAAACGTGTGTGGGAGATAGAAGAGAGAATCTGAAGCAGGCCTGAACAGCCTAGCCGAGCCGCCGTATGGTCATTAAAATGCGGGAAACGAACGAATACAAACTGTACATTACAGAAGCAAGGCGTTGCATCACAGCACGGGGGGTTAGACCGTCGTATAACAAAAGCACAAAGAAATGCAATTCTGGGAATCATCATGCCAAATACCTGCGTGACTTCTAATTTCTATGCAACCACTCTCCCTCCGACCTTTTTGTCCCTGAAACGTCACTCCTCACCGCCCTCTTCCTTCTCCTTTGGCGACGACGTCGTCCCGGCCCTAGGCGGCCCCCCCGGCGGTCCCCCCGTCTTCGGAGGCGGCGCGACAGGCGTCCCACGTCCACCGCTCGAAACCCCGTCGAGCTCCCTGCTCTTCTTTTCCTGCTCCTTGAAGTAATCATCCATCATCGCGTTGCCTCCGTGATGCCTCTCCTTCTTTTTCCTCGTCGTCGCCGTGCCCGCAGGCGGAGGTGGCGGCGCGCTGCCCGCGGCGACCATCTGCGCTGGGACGAGGAACTCCCCTCCTCCCGCGACAGGGTCAGCCGGCGGAGGCGCCCCGAGACCAGCCGCAGCCGGAGTGAACAAGGCCTGCCCCGCGTCCGCACCGTACGCCGCACCACCGCTTGGGTCCTTCTCCCCGTCAAACATCATCTCCCCGGGGGCGCTCACGGGCTCGTTCAGCGGCGGCGGCAAGCGGTGCAGGGCGCCATATCCCAAAACACACCCGAGCGCGCCCTCGCCGCCCCACTCGCGACTCGGCTGGATCGTGACCTCGCGCGTGACGTCGTACTCGTTGTTGTAGACGTACAGGCGCAGGGGGCGACCGATGTGGTCCTCGACGAGCTCGCTGAGGCCGCCCTCGCCGTGTAGGGCGCCTTCGGGGCTGCCGAGGATGTAGTCGCCGTAGGGCAGCAGGCCGGCGGCGTCTGCGGGCGAGTTTGCGGCGACATCGAGGACATGCCAGATGTTGGCGGCGACGGAGAGCGGGGTGAACTGCAGGGAGAGGCCGAGGGAGGCGGTGTCGTGCGGGACGGGGGCGTGGAGCTCGCGCGTGCGCTGGCCCTTTGCGGACCAGAGGCCGAGGAGGACGGTACCGCCGGCGCAGTTGCGGACTTCTTGGGCGAAGAGGCGGGGGTCGGGGTTGTCCTGTTGGTTCGTCGTCTTAGTGGTCTTGTTTTCGGAGTTGAAGGGAGATATTGGCGCAGGAGGTGGAGGGGAGGGGCGTTTCGACTTACAATTGGGCGGCCGTTGATTCCAATGATGAAGTCAAACCAAGGCTCCACGTTCAGCTCGAGATTCGTGTTCCTCAAGACCTGGAAGCCGAAAGAGCCCTGCTGGTTGTTCTGCTGGGTTGGTTGCTGCCCGTCCAAGCGGGACATGAAGCGGTTCAGCGCATTGAACATGGTGTTGCGCCCAGCACTCGAGCTGAGCTATCCCGTCTGCGTTGATTCGGTGGTATTGGCGATTGTGATTCGCAAAGTTGGGGAAAGTTATCGCGCGAAGGTGTTTGAAGCTCTGAACCATGTGTTATTTCCCCTTGGAGCAAGCTGTCATCCAAGGAATGTGAGCCAATCGTCAGCCTTGCATATGGTCCAAGCTCTTCCCGCTTTAGTGGGGCGCTCCAAGTGGGGTCTTTTATTCTGGATTGCAGTTTCCTGCAGCCTCGCTCATTCATCTTCAACGGCCTCAGTGGCCAAAAGGTACTTTTAAACGACCATGTTTGGCCTCAACACTTGATAGTCTCCATCAAAAGCTTTGTTTCAAAGTTTCTTTGTATACTGCGTGCTTCCAAAGACTCGTGCTTCATGAATCACCATCAAAATGAAAGCAGCCGCCAGACTTCCCCTGACGGATGAGTGCCACCACTATGAATCCAAGGCCGAAGTGCCCTGGGACCTCCAAAAGTATTCAACCCCCATTCTTCTGTCCAACGATAAAAACTAACGCAGTCCCCTAGATACTTCTCCCAACGCCGCTCCATCTTCTCCTGGTACGACGACGGCGTCTACCTCACCAACGATGCCTGGTTCGGCGTAACCCCGGAACCCGTCGCCAACGCCGTCGCAAACGACATGTCCTACACGGACCCCTCCAAGCGCTTCCTCGTCGACATCTTCGGCGGCGCTGGCGGCAACACCATCGCCTTCGCCGCCTCCGGCCGCTGGGACCGCGTCATCTCCATCGAGCGCGACGCCGCCACCCTCGCCTGCGCCCAGCACAACGCAGAGCTCTACGAGGTCGCAGACTACATCACCTGGGTCCACGGCGACTGCTTCGAGTTCCTCGAAAAATTGAAAACGGATCCAGCAGGCGCGTTGGCTGAGGAGCTGCGCGTGCCCCTCGAGGAGACGGTCGTCTTCGCGAGCCCGCCGTGGGGCGGGCCGGGGTACCGCAGCGCAGAGGTGTTTGACCTGAGCAAGATGGAGCCGTATAACCTGGAGCAGCTGCACGAGGCGTGCATGCCGATGGACCATGCGCTGTTCCTCCCGCGGACGAGTGACTTGAGGCAGATTGCGAAGCTGACTCCGGACGGGGAAAAGCTGGAGGTAGTGCAGTATTGTATGGAGGGCGCAAGCAAAGCGATGGTGGCGTACATACCAGGGGCGTTCAAGCCGCCAAGTCAATCGTGGAAAATTTGAAATTCATTCAGGGCTAAGCTCTTTCTCTCTCTTTCATGGGATGATTAAAAACATGATACCTACTTTTACAACGCCTTTACCACGCTACGTTCGTCAAACAAATCCTTCAGTAGCCCCTGAATGCAGAATTCCCGGTCCAGCGGCGCCATCGCGTACGTCGACTCGAACGCGAAGATGCTCAGCTGGCCGAAGAATGGTCGTAAAATCTTGCCTACCAGCTCGTCTTTTCTGTCGATACTGACCTCGTCGTTGATGCCGCCCGGTCCAAGAAGAGGGCGCCTGTGTGAGCTGCTCGCGGCCAGGTGGGCTGCCGGTGTGCTCTGCAGAGACAGACTAATGCCCATCGTCCCGAGCTCCTCTGAAAGTTCATCCACCAGGGCAACAGGCTGGTAGTTCGTTGATCGATACACCGCATCGATGGTGTCCGTGACGAAGAGCCACTCGTGGAGTTGGAAATCATCAGGCGCGACGCAGATGAGCAAGTCAAGCAACTTGCATGCCTGCAAAATCGATAGGTTATTGTACATGTCGGATGCTGTGCTGTGGTCGGCAGCGACCACAGACGCGATCGCGGCGTGGAGCTCGGCGTTGATGACTGGCCAGATCATAGCCAGGTGCACCGCACTCGTCTTCAGGACCAGAGCGCGAATGAGCATGTAAATCTCTGCACGTGTTGTAGAAGATGGCGAGGACGTTGCCGTGGCACCAAGAAGCTCCACAAGCTTGTCTACGATGAGAGGAAGCTCCGTAACGTAGGCATCTTCGTTGGCGGCGAGCACCAACGTGGCAGTTCGGCGCAGGTTCAGTTGCGTTTTCCGGTCTGCCTCGAGACGTGCAGAAGTGGCTCCGACACCAAAAACGATACCAGCAGTCGTGGGAGGACTCATGCGACTCAGGAGTTCGGGCATGCGCTCTTTGTCACTGACAGTCCACTGCCTCAGCAGTGGCAACCAGTCGCTTCGCACCAAGTCGATGCTTGA